AAAAAAAAATCCTGAATAATATTTTAAGACTTGGATCATGTTCCATTTAGCCCAAATTTGATAATACAAAAATAGATAAATGAACAGACCTAAACAGGTAACAATCAGCTTAGCAAAATCCATTTACAGCCTTAAGTCACTCATAGGGACTGTCCTCGCAAATAGCATCAAACCAAATAAGATTAACAAAGATAATAAAAAATATCTTTTGATGTAACAATAAAACAAACATATTGCATTTAAGAAATAGCACCAACAATTTAATCACCCTGATATCTAAATAGAAATGAACCAAACAACCCCCAAAATTATGTTATTCATAAAACATTCAAAGCGCAACAAGAAACATCGACTCAAAAAAACTGTAAAGAAAAGGCTTAAAGCTTCAATAAACACTATAATCATATACTTCTTACCACAAGTATTCATATAACCACTATGTGCAAGAACATAAAAGAACAAATTGATGGTTTATTCAAAGTCATTGCTTGAATTGAATGAACTTGAAAAACCTAGAAGTTTAGGCTTTAAAAAACGGCTAGAAATCGGATAATTTTGAAGTTTTAATCCTACAACTTATTTTCCTAGAAAAATTGCTCGCAAGAGAAAGTATGGGTGAAAAAAAAGAGAGACCTTTCTTTCCTGGGAGTTCCTTCCCGTCCTTGATGTAAAACTCCCTGATATCCACCACAACTTTTCCCTGCCAATTCCTCACAGTAACCCTCCGGCCCTTCGACAGCTGAAACAGTGAAAACTTTCGAGGAGTCAAACAGGAGGAGAGAGATGGAGGCTAGGGAAGAGAGTCTGACACCTCGCAGACGACGATATCGCCGCTTCCATCGTCGGAGTCGAGTTTGGTGAACTTTGCCGGCGGTTCCGAGTGTCCCGCGCCGGAATCATCGCCGTATCTCTTCCCTTTCGTCCACATTAGTTAGAACCAGACGAAGTTGAAGAGAGGAGGGTTTTTTGGTTTTAGGAACCTGCCGCCACGTCGCCATTCCAATGTGGAAGAACGAGGGCACAGCGGGGCACGAGGAACGCCATGCGCTCGCGCACGCTCGGCATGAGTTACGTGCGCCGCTGGTCAAATCCCTTAAAAATTATTCCATATCATGCATAAAGCATTTATGCATG